GTGCAATGCCTTCTGTTTCCTTGATCAGGATGTCATTTTGGCTGGGTCTTGCATTTTTGGGCCTCATTTTATATCTCACGAGGCGGTGAATCACATATCTTACCCTGTCCAGCCGATATGTATGTTCTGACCAAACTGAAGATTTCACCACAAAGCCTTTCACAACTTCTAAGGAGATATTAAGGATATTTAGTTTAATTTCTAAAAAAGATATTAATCCTTACTTACACACTACACTACTGCTAAAGCCAACTTCATACAGGGTAAATCCCGTAGCTTTGCATTACTGCCAGAATATAGTAAAAGGGATAAGATAGGAAAGTATAGATTTGCAGGCTAAACTGAAAAATATTTTTTATAAAGATGAATAAAATAAAAAGTCAGTGAAAAGTACATCCAATATTTATAGTTTTTAATTACAAATCAATCATTTTCTTCTCCTTTTTCCTTGATTCCAATCTGCCCTGGAATGAAAGAGAGGGCGTATCTAGACTACGCGGAATGGTCAAAAGAGGATATGCAAATTGCATGGGAAAGCAGAGCATTCGAAAGTGAAATTAATTAAGACGTGGCTTTTTCAGCGAACTGCCCCGTGTGTAAAAAAGCTGCTTTTCCTCAAAAAAAGGAGGTTTATACGGCTTTTCGACTGGGGGAAAGGGGAGTTTGCTGAAAAAGCTGTGTCTTAATTACTTTCACTTTCGAAACTCTGCTTTCGAAAGTGCAATTGGAAGAAGATATGCAAATTCCCGCAGAATTTGCCTATCTTCTTTCGACCATTCCCTATAGTCTAGATGAGCCCAGAATGACTGTCATTTAGGGGCATTTCTTTTTTTCCTTCTTCCTTTTGTGAGTCAATGACTTTTCAGAGTCAGGGAACTAGTGAAAAATTATAGAGTAGGAAAAGAAGAAACAGACAAAAAATAAACAAACAAACAGGCCAAAAAAAGAAGGAAAACAATGCACTTTTTTTCCAGTTGAAAAGAAGGCAAATGTGGAAAAATGAAAATCTGAAAAATTACCAAAAAAAAATCTCAGATTGTTTTAAAAAAGCAATTAAAATGGTCCTTAAAAACTCTGCAAAAATGGAAACTACTTCAAAATTTGAACTTTGTTTCAAAAAATTCTTTAGCCTCTCTTTACCATTTCATTTTGGGTAGAGAGAGCAAAAACCTGTTGGATCTCAACTGCCTTGGAATATTATATGGACACAGGTAGTCAACCAAGTAACTTAGGCCTAGTTTTGTAACAAATGTTCAATACTATCAGCAAATGATAGTATTCCCAATACAATATACTTCAGCAGATTAAATGTGATAGAGTGTGGGACACAAGTTTAGGACCTAGGGAAGGTATATTTATTTCAGACATTCCTCCTCTATAATTGCATGCAGTAAAGTCTCAGTTTAATACAGGGGTGGGCAATAATTTTTAGTGGGGGGCCACTCCAAGATTTTGGAAAGTGGCCGCACTTTTCTGTGGAGGGGCTGCAGGGTCTAGGTTGGAGGTTGCCCGTGGTACAGGATTGGGGTGTAGGAGATGGTGTGGGGTCAGAGTGTTTGGGTGGAGGAAGGGGTTGTGACCCGGGTCTGCGGATTGGGGTGTAGGGTCACGGAGGGAGTGAGTGCAGGAGAGGATTCTGGCCTGGGGAGGGGTGTGGGAGGAGGTACAGAGTCTGAGAGGGAGTAGTCACCTGGGACAGGGGTTGCAGAGGGTTTGGTTGGTGATCTGGGGGAGGGAGCTGGGGTCCAGGAGGGGTTGGGGTGCCAGAGGCAGGTGCTGGCTGGGAGGAATTTACCTGTGTGTCTCCTGGCCAGCAGGCTGCAGCACCCCCAAGGCAGGCTGGGCTCCCCGCCTGCTGCAGCCCAGCCCACTTGAAAAGGCTCCCTCCACGTGGCTCTCTACTCTGGCGAGGGGGGGGGAGGCTTTCACTGCATCAGTCTCTCAGACCAATCTCTCAGCTCTGATTGGCTGGCTGTTTCCAGCCAATAGTAGTTGAGAGATTGGCAGAGGTCAGTTCTTATTGGCCAGTTGTTTCTGGCCAATAGGGGCTGAGGATTGGACTGGGGGCAGGGAGATCGCACGAAGCCTCCTCCTCCCTGCAGAGCAGAGTGCCGCAGGGAATGTGTTTTAAATCGCGGCAGCTACATGTGCTTGCGGGTTCCCGCAGGGGAGTCCACGGGCTCGACCGGGTGGCTTGGTGGGCTAGATCCAGATCCGGCTCCCGAGCCATGTTTTGCCCAGCCCTGGTTTAATAGCATGCTGACGCTTTCCTGGGATATTATATTTTTCTAGTGTTTTACTGTTTAATTTGGATTCAGATTCCATGGATGTTTCTGCTGTCAGATATTTAAAAACAGCAACATTCTGATCATAGCAAACACAAAGGAAAGTTTCCAACATTCTTCCTGTGAAGCAAATGAACTTTTTTTTACACCTGTTTACGTGCAGATTTTATTGATTTATTGATTGAATACTCCAACACTGGGTTCCTTTGCACAGAAACTTCAGCTTCCACCTTCTGAAAATATGATGGTCCTGATCCTCATTGTTTATAAGAGAGTTTATGTCTATTGACAGTGGCAGAGGATCCTGCCCACGTACCCTAATCTAAAAGCCAATTCCTAGAGCCATACAAAACAATTCTGCTTTACATTCACTGTCTTTCCCTTCCCCTCCCACCACTGCAAAGAGTCAGACCCTCAAGAGTTCTGATGTTAATAGGCTATGATTTTAGTACTGTACCATTTCCACCATAATTTCCCTGAGTAGGTCGGACTTCCCAGTGATTGTCCTGGACCAGCAAGGAATAACAACAAAAAAGAGAGCATTTGATGCACAGTGTTTAATGACCAGCTTTCCTGCTTATCATTTGAATTCATTATGATGATGATGTGCATAAGGATCAACGTGGCATTAATATTTCATGTGCTACCTCAGCTTCTTATCTTGGAGCAAGGAAAGAGCCCTAAGGAAAACTAACTAACATTTTCCCCCACAGGAAACAGGTTTGCAGAACAGTCATCTCTCTCTAACAGCTCAGTATTCTCAGTAGCAGAAGACACTATCAAGTCCCTATAAATCACCACCTTTAATTGCCTTTTCCCAGCTCAGGAATATTCTCGATTCCAGAAAGATATTACTTTTCCTCTAGGTCCAAATTTAAATTGTCCTTTATTCTAGCTCAGACGAACCACAATATTCCCAGCAGCTTTAATTATATGGAACTTATAGAGGTGAGGTTTTTTAGGTATACTAGTATCCCTGACACACACCTCAGTGGCCCATCTCTCAGAAAGCCCTTCCAGTCTATAAAAAGATTAGCTAGGGGGACTGTAGTGACCATACATAGAGTTAAGCTTACTGGTGGCAGGATTTCTCAGGTGAGCTTCCCTATCAGTAGAATTTACTCCCCTCGGAGGTCTGTTTGAGCATGACGGAAGACACTTTCATTTGGTTTAGACTATATTTTATTTTGATTGTTTGTATAATTTACTCTTGGGATTTATTCCACATAAAAAGGACAGTATGTACTACAGCACCCAAATTTTGGTTATTTTTAAATATAATTTGCTGATTTCCAAATAGGAAAAGGCTGTTCAGCTGCTACAGCAAAAGAGGCTCTAAAGCATTAAAACATTTTTTGAACTTCACAAATGTCTAGAAACTATACATTAGTTAGTCTTTAAAGTGCTACATAGTCCTGTATTTTGTTTCAGCTACACCAGACTAACACGGCTACATTTCTATCACTATATATTCTACTGTCTCTTATTCTTAAATAGCCAGGTCCTACCACCTGTTCTGTAAAATGTATCACTAACTTTGTCAAAAACATCAATACCCCTGTTCCTACCACTGGCTATTTCAACCAACCGTCTATGCTCCATCATGCAAAAGGTTCATTAAAGGGATAGAACCTGCCAAAAGGTGTAATTCACACCACTTATATTGTAATGGCATCTAACTGGCAAATGGAGCTCTGAAATGAACAGCAGTGGAGGAATCACTGCCAGTAAAGGTGCAATCCAGGCAAAGAGCAGGAAGATACAGACAGAGGTGCAAGAAGGACCAATGAAAGTGGAGAATTTAAACAAATGAGGAAAGGGAACCAAAGAATGCTGAGGATTAATGGTAGTGCTTCAGGGAAACATAAGAGAAGCAACTTGGGGCAATTTTCCTCAGCCATAAAAGACTGCAATAGTTCTCATTTCAGCAACAATGTCATATTTGGTTTTGTAATTAGGCTTTGAAGAATAACATTTATATCAGTAAACAACACACACACACACACCTCTGAAAAATATTTTCATCAATAATAATGGAAATTTACAGACCAGCAAAGAAAGAAAAATGTTGCACAAGAACTTATTAGAATTTGATTTGAGGATGTTTACTATGTGTATTTTGATGGGTATTGACAATTTCTCTTCTAATGGGCATAAAAGCTTTAACTTTTTGAACATCAGTTTATATTGCCATTAAATATTTATGGACTGACCCTACTGCTCCACCGTACCCCCCCAGTAAGAGGCTGCATCCCCACCTCTTCTTGCACCCACTTTTCATTATGCATTGTTGGCTGGTGGTCCATGAAAAGGTCTGCATTGAGCTGGGTGGGCTGCAAGCCAAAAAATTTGGGAACCACTGATTTAAACTGATAAAAAACAAATGCTTAAAAATAAACATCAATATTATCTGTCAAAATGATAAAAAACTGCAGTCTGCCAAGCCTGTTTATAAACTATACGCACCATGCTCTGTTTCTTTTTCTTTTTGAATTATTTTTAGTGACATATATTTGGAACCCATGTTGTGCTACAGATTTGTCTGCCTTTCTCCCAGTGAGAAACAACAGAAAGCAATAGCTCAAACATATGTCTAGTGCATACAGGGATTTGCTGGGCTTTCTAATATCCTCTTTTCCCCCATGTTTTTCTCTCCTGGCCTGGAATCCTCCTGTGTGTGATGTAAACACTGTTCATGCACTAGAAAGCATTTACCTTTCCCACATGAAGTGGTACACTCCGTTGTTCCAACCTGCTTCCAGTTGTGCTCTCGGTTTCGTCGTGGTGGCTGCACAGCAGGCACCTGGTTGTCAGGCTGATGAGAAGGAAACCGTCCTGACTGAATTACAGGAAAGTTGCCTGCTGACTGTCCAGTGTGCATGTCTGTTTCCCTATGCAAATCTTCACGTTTGGGATCTGTACTGTCTGTCACTTCTAACTGACCATTGAATGGCTCCCCTGGGGACAGGACAACAACAAGAAATTAGAAGAGTGAACATCTCCTTCAAACATTAGTGAATGCATTCAGCAATTAGCGACTTCAACAATGGTCTACAGAGATGTCAAGCTTTTATCTCCATATTCAGACTTGCTGGGTTGTTCTGCAGACAAAGATTTTGCTGCTTTTCAATGAGGCACCTGATTCTCAGCAAGCAAACACACACACAAAAGCAGAAATTCTCCAGACATTTTTAGCATGGCTGTTGTGCCTAATGTCAATCAAGTTTCCCAAGGATTTTTTTCACCATGCTCCATGTTCTGTATCTCTGTGTCAAATTCCAGCTGCTCCTCATTAAGAAACAGACCATGTAGCCAATACAAATCTGACGAGGAGAGTCAAGAACCTGAGTAGTAGTACCACATTTGCCTGCCAATTTCTTTTTTTCCCTTTCACAATTGCTGGTACAGTTAACATATTTCCATGCTATCAAATTTTAAATAATTCTGTCTAGAGAAATTTTAGCTTTGGGGGCTTAAACATTTCCACAGGATTACAAGAGCGAAGCTGAGAAAGGTTATTTCAAAATATCAAACTCCAAAAAGAAAGAAAAAGCAATTTAATTTCTGAAATACAGGCACAAACATTCAGCTTATAACAGTAACTGATCAAGAAAAAGTCACAATGTGTTCTTATTCCATGTGACATGTTAAAGACAAAATTACCATTCAAAATGGAACTATGGGACTAGACCCTCAACTGGAGGAAATCAGAGTAAACCCACCGTGGCCAATGGAGTTCCACTGCTTTATATCTGTTGAGCAGTGGGATGAAATCCTGGCCCCACAAAGTCAACAATAACATTTCCATTGATTTCAATCAGGCCAGAATTTTACTTCTGGCTCCTAAAGTTACAGAATGTTAAAGCGATTTACCTGGCCTTCTGTGAGGAGGTAACTGAGGGCTAATGATGTTGGCTTCTGGAATGACATACTCATAATGTATACCTGGGTTAGGCTGCTGATGTATCATCTAAAAGGGAAAAGAGCCAAACAAGTTTTATCCGATTCACTAAAACCACCTATTAGGTTACTCCAGTTTAACAGAAACAGAAATGTAAACCAGTGAACAGCACGATGCTTGCTAGTACCAGAAAAGGCAAAGGTCTGTTTGGTAACATGTTAGTGAAATATGAAAATAACCCATTAGTTTCTGAGAGGCTCAGACAAAAGTAAGGAAAAGATGCATTTCCACACCTGCACACTGCACTACATTGTAATAAGGAGCAGCTGTTACTCAAACGCCGCACTATGTACAGCTACATCATACGCATTTTCTTGGTACAGGTGCAAAATATGAAAATACAGGGGTGTTGTTAAGAGACTTTCACTGAAACACTGGGTGGCGAGAGAAGTTCATATGACAAATGGGCTGAGAATGAAATAACTGACCAGATAGGTAACTGAGAAAAGGAACTAAAGAAGGTGGGGGAGGGGAAGGGAAGGCTTCAAATCCAAATGCTTAAACCCCTGCTAGTTCTCTCCTCAAATGATTGTCAGTTCTATTTGACTAGAGAACACCCAGCTCTTCTGCCTTCCCATTGCATGGGCCCTGTTCCGTTCATTCTGGAGCATCTGGCTCTGAGCACTGTTGGAAGGCAGGGGCTCTATGGGCTAGATCAGTGGTCACCAACCAGTAGTTTGGGATCTGTTGGTAGATCTTGGAACCCATGTCAGGTGATCCTGAGAGGTTTGGCTGGGAAGGCTGTCAAGTGCTGGCACTTCATCTGCCCCTCTCAGTACTGCTGTGCTGCTCCTGCCCTCTTCTGTGGAGTTGTCTCTCACCTCCGGGAGCCTTCTGCTTTCTGTGCAGAGCACAGGAAGAAGAGGAAGGGGGGTGCTGGTGTTAGGGTGCCCCTCCCACCACTCTGTATCCCATCTCTATAGAGCAGAAGGGGGCAGGAGTATTTCAAAGGGACGTTGTTAAGGGCCCAAAAGCAAACAATTCCGCTGTGTAGGAAAGATAGAAAATATGGCAAAAGACCAGCTTGGCTTAACAAGGAGATCTTGCACGATCTCAAAATAAAAAAGGAGTCATATAAAAAATGGAAACTAGGACAACTAACAAAGGAGGAATATAGGCAAGCAACACGGGAATGCAGGGGCAAGATTAGAAAGGCAAAGCCACAAAATGAGATCAAACTAGCTACAGGCATAAAGGGAAACAAGAAGACCTTTTATAAATACATTAAAAGCAAGAGGAAGACCAAGGACAGGGTAGGCCCACTGCTTAGCGAGGAGGGAGAAGCAGTAACAGGGAACTTGGAAATGGCAGAGATGCTAATGACTTCTTTGTTTCGGTCTTCACCGAGAAGTCTGGAGGTGTGCCTAACGTAGTGAATACAAGCAGAGAGAGGGTAAGTTTAGAAGATAGGATACACAAAGAACAAGTTAAAAATCACTTAGGAAAGTTAGATGTCAGCAAGTCACCAGGTCCTGATGAAATGCATCCCAGGATACTCAAGGAGCTGATAGAGGAGGTATCTGAGCCTTTAGCTATGATCTTTGAAAAATCATGGCAGACAGGGGAGATTCCAGAAGACTGGAAAAGGGCAAATATTGTGCCCATCTATAAAAAGGGGAATAAGAACAACCCAGGAAACTACAGACCGGTCAGTTTAACGTCTGTCCCAGGGAAGATAATGGAGCAGGTAATTAAGGAAATCATATGCAAACACTTGGAAGGTAATAAAGTGATAGGGAATAGCCAGCATGGGTTTGTGAAGAACAAGTCATGCCAAACTAATCTGATAGCTTTCTTTGATAAGATAACGAGCCTTGTGGATAAGGGAGAAGCGGTGGATGTCATATACCTAGACTTTAGTAAGGCATTTGATACGGTCTCGCATGATATTCTTATTGATAAACTAGGCAAATATAACTTAGATAGGGCCACGATAAGGTGGGTGCATAATTGGCTGGATAACCGTAGTCAGAGAGTTGTTGTTAACGGTTCTAAATCCTGCTGGAAAGGGATAACAAGTGGAGTTCCTCAAGGGTCTGTTTTGGGACCCGTACTATTCAATATCTTCATCAATGATGTAGATATTGGGATAGAGAGTACGCTTATTAAGTTTGCAGATGATACCAAACTGGGTGGGGTTGCAACTTCTTTGGAGGATAGGGACATAATTCAAAATGACCTTAGCAAGTTAGAGAAATGGTCAGAGGTAAACAGGATGAGGTTTAATAAAGAGAAATGCAAAGTGCTCCACTTAGGAAGGAACAATCAGTTCCATACATACAAGATGGGAAGCGACTGTCTAGGAAGGAGCATGGCAGAAAGGGATCTAGGGGTCATAGTGGACCACAAGTTGAATATGAGTCAACAGTGTGATGCTGTTGCAAAAAAAGCAAATATGATTCTAGGTTGTATCAACAGGTGTGTTGTAAGCAAAACTCGTGAAGTCATTCTGCCGCTCTACTCTGCACTAGTTAGGCCTCAGCTGGAGTACTGTGTCCAGTTCTGGGCGCCACATTTCAAGAAAGATGTGGAGAAATTGGAAAGGGTACAGAGAAGAGCAACAAGAATGATTAAAGGTTTAGAGAACATGACCTATGAAGCCAGGCTTCATGAACTGGGCTTGTTTAGTTTGGAAAAAAGAAGATTAAGGGGGGACATGATAGCGGTTTTCAAATATCTAAAAGGGTGTCACAAGGAGGAAGGAGAAAATTTGTTCCTCTTGGTTTCTGAGGACAGGACAAGGAGTAATGGGCTTAAAGTGCAGCAGGGGAGGTTTAGATTGGACATTAGGAAAAAATTCCTAACTGTCAGGGTGGTCAAATATTGGAATAAATTGCCAAGGGAGGTGGTGGAATCTCCCTCTCTGGAGATATTTAAGAACAGGTTAGATAGACATCTGTCAGGGATGGTGTAGACGGAGCTTCGTCCTGCCTTGAGGGTGAGGGGCGGGACTCGATGACCTCTCGAGGTCCCTTCCAGCCATAGAATCATAGAATAATATGATTCTAGGAATGGAGAGAGTTTGCTGGCTGCTTTGGGAGTGGTGCAGGACCAGGGTAGGAGTGAGCCTACATTAGCTTCCTGCATCACCACCCAGAAGCCACCCCGGGTAAGCGGTCCCTAGCTGGAGCTCGCATTCCGAATCCCAGCCCCAGTCCTGAACCCCTCCTGCACATCAAACCCCTGCCCCAAGCTTGATAAAAGCGAGTGAGAACAGGGGAGGGAGGATCGAGTGAGCAGGAGCGGAGCTTCAGGGAAGAGGTGGGAAGGAGGTGGGGCAAGGGTGTTTGGGTTTGTGGTAGATCCTGGATTGCACTTAAATTCAAAAAGTGATCTTATGCTTTAAAAGGTTAGAGATCACTGGGCTAGATAGATGTGTCCCACTATGTTCACTCTTATGTTCTTATTAACTCCTGTGTTCTCTCATATACCAAGTTGTCCCCTTTTATAGCACTCACTACTCTACTGATAAAGCAGCATGCAAAACAGCTAATAATAACTGTATGAATATTTCATTTATATAGCAGGTGTTTAACAGTGCTCAGGTAAATAGATAAAAGTAATTATATATCTATATCAGCGATAAAGTCACCACATTATGTATACATAATAAATACTACATGTGATGACTAGGGTTATAAGAATGGGTAACTGATAAGCATGAGCTTATTGGTTACCCAACTGGCTACACAGCTATACATGGCTCCTGGACCAGCTCCTGGGGAGCTGCCTGTCACCCCGTGCTGATACCTCTGAAACAGAGGCAGCAGTGTGGGGTAGCAGGTGGGAGCTAGAATGCACAGGGAGCTGCCTCTGTATTAGAGGCAGCAGTGTGGGAGTAGCGGTGGGCTTCCCAGGAGCAAGGCTGCAGGCAGGAGCCAGAGTGCACCAGGAGCCAGCTTAAAAACCAGTTCCCGGTATATACTGGCTCCCAGGGACGTGGCTGCTGCCCCATGAGTGGTGACTGCATCACTGGTACACTTGTCTTTGTTGAATCTCATCAGATTCCTTTTGTCTCCAGATTAGGAGCCAATGGTCTGGGTTGTTTCAAGAAAAGCTCTTCTATGGCTCCCATACTTCTTCCACAGTGTTTCCCAAAACAACTCACACGGAGCTAGCGGCAGTGTAATCTTTTGTAACGATTGCACTTTATTCTATTTGTGCTAGATATGTAAGCGACTACTCAAGTAGTTGACTAAGCTTATTGGGTAGTCGAGTCACTACTTGACTACTTGCTTCCTACCCACCCTTGCTGCCTCTGCAGAGGCAACAAGCAGGGGGAAGCAGGAGCCAGTGCTAGCGGGAGCTGCTTAAAAGCCAATTCCCCCCAGCACCATCTCCACAGTGAGGGAGGTGGCAGGGGAAGCAGAGTCACAACTGCTCATTCCCGGTTCACACTTCCTCTGGGAGATAACCCCGCTGCGGCTCTGCAGTTGAAATATGGCAAGAGCCAAGCTGCCTATGCGTCCGACTCCTATTACATATAAATTGCAGAGCCACAGCAGGGGTAGCGAGCGCCCCCTTTATTGAGTAATCGATGGAAATTCCATCGACTACTTGAGTAGTGAATTAATTGCTACTTAATATCCCTAATTTGTACCATAGCTGGGTTATGTGCATAACAAAATTGGGCCTGATTTCCTATTCCAGCTTATCTATCTGTTTAAATTTTGCATCCACAAAACTAGAGAGCCTTTTCCTGTGCATGTGAGCTATGTCTAGACTGCAAGCCTCTTTCAAAAGATACTTTCGAAAAAGCCTCTTTCGAAAAAGAGTGTCTAGACTACAATCAGTACTTTGGAAAAAGCAAGCCGCTTTTTTGAAAGAGAGAACCCAGGCAGTCTGGATGCTCTCTTTCGAAAAAGCACAGTTTGCATTACATAGCACCTTTTTTTCGAAAGAGCACTTTCAAAAAAAGGTGTTATTCCTCGTAAAATGAGGTTTTCTGCGGTTGAAAAAACAGACGTGTTCTTTCGATTTACTTTCAAAAGAACGCGTCAGCAGTCTAGATGCAAGGGAAGTTTTTTCGAGAAAAGGCCACTTTTTTCTAAAAACCCCTGTAGTCTAGACACATCCCTGGCGAGGGAAAGAAAAAGACTGCAAGAACTAAGACAAAAGACTGATGGCCTGTTGGAATTACCATCTTCATAGCCCTTCACCTGCATACAAAGCTCCCAGGGTTCGGAGCTAAAGAGAAGTAGAAGATTCAGAAATTGTAAGACCAGAACTGCCAAGTTCAGGGAGGTTGAGGAATTGAATACTGGTTTATGCTAATATTAGCTATCTTTGCGAAACTAGAAAGTCATAACCCAGGCGAGGGTGATTATGCTATTAACAAAACTCCTATAATTTTCTTTCATCTAAAACTTTCTGATCCCCATCGTAGAACACAGCAGCACAGATGGCTCCTCAGGCACCCCAAAATGCTGTGAAGGGGAGAATGCTGATCTATAGACCAGCCTAGATGAGCCTTTAATGGTCCTAGCATCCTACAGGAAACATGAGGAAGGGGAGGAGTGATGCCAAACCAGGGGGCCAGTCCACAGCAAGAACCCACAATTCAAGTCACTAAGCTCTGCCCAAACCCATGACAACCTTGCTATTTTCATGGCAAATAAGATGCCACAAAGGGGAAAAAAAGAAGGGAGAGAAACAGGGAAAGATTAAATCAATAAATAATAGAGGCACAAATGGGCCATGAGATATAAGAGTTCTAAAAACCAAAATGCATTTTATTATGATGAATAATTTAGGGTGCTGTAAAGTTTTTGATTATACTTATTTAGGAGCACCTGCATGAATCACACATGGCTCCTTTCCTTTCTCTCTCTGGGAAAAGCAGTCATTGTACCTTCTGCACCAATTTCTTGGCAATAAAAACTTCACAGCATCTCAGCTCACACCACCCAATATTCTTTATGTAAGTGTCATAATATCCTTTTTTTCCCCTTTGGTAACATGCCCATTTATCTGATTGTCAAAAATTCACATCACAACAAATCAAAAATCATTCCCCATCTCACATGCTATGCCTCATTAAAGCAATACATTAATAATACAATTTGTAAATAAAGCAATACATTTGTTAATTTTAATTATTTTGCCATTTGTAACTTTTCCAGTTATTGGAGCCAATGCACTTTCTATAAAAATGTCATGCACTAATTTTTGTATTATGTGTCATCACTTGTTGAGATTAATGACAATCAAACGCTGGCCAATTAAAACAACCAATATTATCAACTTGGACTGTATACCTACACTACATGTGGCCTTACAGCCAATATATTTTATTTTATATTTGTTATGGGGGTATGAATATGCCTATATGCACAATGTATTTATAGTATGCTATATTAATGCACAATTGCATTTTTATTTCAATGTTGAATAATAGCAAAAATTCACTGAGTGAAATTCTGATTCCATTGAAATCAATACTTTTGCCATTGAATTCAACGGAGCCTGGATTCCCCTGCAATTTGGTTCTGTGATGGCTTTGCAGAGTGTCTGCTGCTCAGGATTTCCAAATGCAGCATGCTGTTACAACACTGCCCAGGAATGATTCATCTAATACATACAGTAGCTTTCATTTATATATATAGTTTTTAAAAATATAGAACCAAAAAAGCTTGAATCTGCCAGAGCTCTTGACCTGCTTCACACATTTGATTTGAGTAACTATAAATCTAAACTAAGTCAAATTAGCTTCAGTAGAAAAGTGTCTGGAGGAAATCCAGCTCTCATGAAATAAAGAATATAGTATACTTTGCCACTGATTTTACTCAACAAATAAAATTGGTTTTCCTGGGTCGCTAAACTCTTGGGGTAACACAAGTACCTTTTACTGTTTAGATTTCTTATGATCAGAGGCAATTCAGAGGTACCAGCAAAGGACCTTTATTGTAACATCTAAAACAGTCATCTTTAAGGATTAAACTGAATGCTGGCATTTATTTATTGTTATTGCTTATGTTTTCAGTGACGTGTGTGAACAAAGACCAGAATTTTTGTTTTACACCAGCAAGATTAATCTGAATTTGACAGACTTACATAGACATCCAGAATCTCGTTTGTTGGACCCTCTGCTAAAAAGGACTCCCCTGCAGTGCTTGAGATTTCATTTGGGCGTTTATATGTGAACATAGTTCCTCCTCCTTCATATCTCCCGGGTCGATCAATTGCCCAATTTCCATTGATGATGGACCGTCCTGATCGACTCCTCAGTGCTATCAGGGGAAGGAAAAAAAAACACACTCTCAAATGCTGATCACAAGAAATCATTTTTATATACTAGTTTTCAGATTGTTAAACATGTATACAAATACATTCATGTATCTGGATTATACTGCCGTATAGCCTCTGATTTAATGGAATCAGTCAATATTGCAAGAACAAAAAATATTGCAAATTGCATCAATACATGTGTAAAAAAACAACTTAAAAAACCTGACATTTAAATATGTGAATTTTATTTTGCAGGAAGAGAAAAATACAAAGCTACAATAGAAAACTCATTTTTCACAGAATATCATGTTGTGATTCTGTCTCAGCTAGCCAGACGGGTACATTGAATACACATGGATAACAGGGAAGTGGTTTTCTGAACTTCCTTCACATTCATGTGAATCTTTATTTAGTGGTTTGGAAACTGCAAAGAACTGAAGTGGATACAGATTATCACAACAGCTACACTATGTAGAACCACCACCCCTACAATTTATGAACCAAAAAATATCTTGGTTTGCCAAATATTTCAATTATTCTTAATGCAGACTTTGGCAAATGTTTAATTTTCCTTTACAGAATATACATTTTGCCAAACATCTGCAAAATTCTGTTCTGTAGAAGTGCTTGGGGTGACAAGTATTCATACTCCATTGTACCCTATCTGTAAGATACATAAAATAGAATAGGAAGATCCTGTTGCATATTTGTGTGAAACGTGACTACCTTTACACTTACATGGTTCTAAAGTAACTATCTAATCCCAAAACAAGGGTATAGGTATTATATACCATTCAACCACAACCTCTGTTCAACGCATGGCTGCAAGAATTCATAGACTTCCTCTGAAACATTTGGTTTTTGCTACTGTTGCAGACTGTTGCAGGGTACTGGACAACATGGACCCAGATTTGATCCAGTATAACATTAGCTCAATGACCACACTGTAGCAACATATATACTCCAAAAGAGGAGAGCTGTGAGCAGAACACACAGGCTATGTCTAGACTGCAGGCTTCTTTTGGAAGAAACTTTTCCGGAAGAGATCTTCTGGAAAAACTTCTTCCAAAAGAGAGCATCTACACTGCAAAAGCACATCAAAAAAGCCATCTGCTTTTTCAAAAGATAGCATCTGCACTTGCATTTCAGCTGTGATTACTATGGATGGAGTGGCCACCAGGCCACTTGTGATTTTTCCTCTTTCCTCTTCTTTCAAAAGAACATCCTCTTCCCCATCCACACACGCCTTTTCTTGAAAAAGATCTTTCGGAAAAAGGATTCTTCCTCATAGAATGAGGATTACCAATGTTGGAAAAAGCCCTCTGTTCTTTTGGTTTTCTTTCAGAAGAATGCAACTGCAGTGTGGAAGTAACTGAAGTTTTTCCGAAAAAATCCTCTGTAGTGTAGACATTCCCCCAAGAGCCTGAGGGGGTGTAGGGCATCTTCCGTGGCTGATCCTTTCCAGGTTAAACAGCTAAGCCTAAATTTTGGGTTTCTCTCCTTTTCTATGACAGTGCTGATATTTTGCCTTAGGGGAAGTAGAACAAGTGTAAACCTGTTGGTGAAGCCTACTTCTAGGAGATGTCTCCATGCTGGGAACATAATAAGAAATTATTGTTTTAATGGAACTATGTAACAAAACACACATACTATGGTTATATGTAATGAATTAATAATAGTCATTTATTATTAAGAAGCAATGGTAATCTTAAACTGCCAGTTTTCAAGTCTAAATCAAACAGAATTTGTGGCATGTTAGTGACATTAAGTCAGTTTGCATTGTTCTGCATCATAAACTGACACAAATGAGAGACAAAACCATCTTTTACTTGTATTTCCCCTCCTGTCAAAAAAAGGTCCCTTGACTAGATGGGGATGAAATCATGAGCAGAATAAAATACATATGTTCATATAGTTGGTTCAGTGTTATCAAATGGGAGAATATTAGAATTCTAAACACAACAAAGAAGTGAGTATTGAAGTTAGACAGGACTTAGTAATCCTTTTAGTAACAAACAGACACAGTGGTGGTGCCAGAAATGCTATTGGCCCAGGAAATTTTCAAATACATTCACCAAATATATTTTAACAAGTGATATGTGAGGAATCCATGAGGGAGCTGCACAAGAATATTATGCAAGCAAAGTACACATAATTCATTGTGATTTATTCCCTCAGCTCCTGCAAGAAAACATTTTTAATAGAAATAAATCTGTTTACCTTTAAAAAGAAATCAGTAACTAAACAGTACAGGTTTCAGACTACAGCAACTGCAATGAGGGTATTAGATTTCAGCCTACGGGATTCCCTCCACCACAAGCCGTGAATTTAATATAGATCTGTTTAACAAACTATAACTTCATAACAATGTGACATAGCAAAAACAGTGACAGAAGTGTCTAGCTAAGGCCAGATTATACTTACCTGTGAGAGAAGGCAAAAAGAAACCTCCACTTTGTGCAGGCTATGTAGAGGTTAACTATCATTATAATCCCTGCTCTTAAGGGAAGATAAAGACTGCTCAGTTACTACAGGCAGTCCCCGGGTTACGTACAAGATAGGAACCGTAGGTTTGTTCTTAAGTTGAATCTGTATGTAAGTCGGAACTGGCATCTAGATTCAGCCGCTGCTGAAACTGACCAGCAGTGGCTGAATCAGGACGCCTGGGGCAGAGCAGCTGGGGTGCTGCTGGGTTGCTCCAGTAGTGCCCAGAGCGGCGCTACGGGACCAACTGGCAGCGCCCCAGCTGCTGTACCACAGGCGTCCGGAGCAAAGCCGCGGAGCACGGGGGCAGCGGGACAGCCCAGACGCACCGCGGCTCTCCAGCAGACCAGGGAGATGGGGAGCAAAGCCGCGGAGCACGGGGGCAGCGGGACAGCCCAGACGCACCGCGGCTCTCCAGCAGACCAGGGAGATGGGGAGCAAAGCCGCGGAGCACGGGGGCAGCGGGACAGCCCAGACGCACCGCGGCTCTCCAGCAGACCAGGGAGATGGGGAGCAAAGCCGCGGAGCACGGGGGCAGCGGGACAGCCCAGACGCACCGCGGCTCTCCAGCAGACCAGGGAGATGGGGAGCAAAGCCGCGGAGCACGGGGGCAGCGGGACAGCCCAGACGCACCGCGGCTCTCCAGCAGACCAGGGAGATGGGGAGCAAAGCCGCGGAGCACGGGGGCAGCGGGACAGCCCAGACGCACCGCGGCTCTCCAGCAGACCAGGGAGATGGGGAGCAAAGCCGCGGAGCACGGGGGCAGCGGGACAGCCCAGACGCACCGCGGCTCTCCAGCAGACCAGGGAGATGGGGAGCAAAGCCGCGGAGCACGGGGGCAGCGGGACAGCCCAGACGCACCGCGGCTCTCCAGCAGACCAGGAGCAAACCCCGTTCGTAACTGCGTATCCGACGTAAGTCGGATCCGCGTAACTCGGGGACTGCCTGTATTCCTCTAGGCATCTGATCCTTCAAAAGGGTCTGGGATTTGCAAGTACTCCTCTTTCATGCACACAATCCAATGAAAGTCTCAGAAGGGTAACCATATTAGTCGGTAACTTTAAAAACAACAAGTAGTACTGTGGCACCTTAGGGCACATTTACACAGCAGTGTTATTTCAAAGTAATTTTGAGATGGCAGACTTCTTACTCTGACTACTGTAACCCTCATTTCACAAGGAGTAAGGGAAGTTAAAGGAAGAGTGTTCTTCCTTTGACTTCCTGCTGTATGGCCAGTGCCAAAAGTTGAGTTAAGGTACTTCGACTTCAGATACGCAATTAAGGTAGATGAAGTTGTGTATCTTAATTCAATCTTATACCGCAGTGTATACATACTCTTAGGCTACGTCTAGACTGCAAGCCTCTTTCAAAAAAGAGCGTCTAGACAAAAAGAAGATTTTTCGAAAAAGCAGCTCATTTTTTCGAACGAGAGTCTAGATGCTCTTTCAAAAAAGCCCTTTTTATGCAATAGTGCCTTTTTTTGAAAGATGACTTTCAAAAAACGCATTATTCCTCATAGAATGAGGTTTGTCGCCATCGACAAAACCGCTGCGTTCTTTCGATTTTTGTCAACAGAACGCAGCGATAGTCTAGACACAGGTAAAGCTTTTTCGGAAAAAAGTCACTTTTTTAAAAAAAAACCCTGAAGTCTAGACACACCCTTAGAGCCTAACAAAATTATCATGAGCTTTCCTTGGTAAACCCACATCATCAGATGAATTGAAGTGGAAATAACAGAATCAAGCCCAGCATGTGTGTCAAATTTGTAGTTTCCTGGGTGAGCATGAGGAACCTCCCCCTGAGGTGTGGTGTGTGGCTGCTGGAAACAATTTGCTTCACTTTGGGGAGGGCAGAGGTTGTGTGTAGGTGAGGACTGACCTGTCTCAAGGTCTATAAGAATGAGGGATTGTTTTCCAGGATAGATTGTGGGTTGTCAATAATGTGCTGGAGGGATTTAAGCTGGGGGTTTTATGTCATGTAGGTGTAAATGGTGGTGTTATTTTCCTTCTTGGGCCTGTCTTGAAGTAATTGACCTCTGTGTACTTGTCTAGCTCTTTCAATATCCAGGTGGATATTTAAGTTTTAAGAATTCCTGATAAAGATCTTGTAGGTGTTTGTCTCTGTCTGTGGGAATGGAGCAAATCTAATCGTATCTTAGAACATGGTGGTAGACAATGGATCATGTGATATGTCTTGGATGGAAGTGAGAGGCATGCAGGTAAGAATAACAGTCAGTAGGTTTCCGGTATAGGGTGGTGTTTATGTGAACATCATTTATTTGTACTACAGTGTCAAGGAAGTGGCTCCGTTATGTGGACTAGTCCAGGCTAAGTTTGGGGTACAAATTGTTGAAATCCCTGTGAAATTTTTCTAAGGTCTCCAGCTATATACAGGACACATCCAGACCACTTAAATAGCTTCATTAGCAGGAGTCCTACAATTGACAGGTACTTCTTTTGCTGTTGTATATATCTTGGATTCTGTTATTTCTATTCCAACTCATCTGATGAAATGGGTC